ACCTCGCTTTTCAGAACGATGAGCTTTGTAAAAATCGACGCGTTTCAGAATGGCGGGGCATAGAGGAGCAACAATAATGTACATTATGTGGAAAATAATGTGTTTTTTGAACCTTAAACCGCATAATCATTTCATTACACCAAATACACAAAATAATGTTATTTTTAGCAACATAATATGACCCCTTTAAATATATTTAAATTATAGTTAAAAATGGGAATTTCAACAATTCATCAATCAGATCATTAATTTTAATGACAGTTATGAAAACTCTTTAGCTAATTAATATAATTAATTTAATAAAATATGATAATTTATACAATTAAATCTAAATGAACCCAAAACAATGTTGAGAAAAGCCCTCAAAGCAGCCTTAACGTATTATGACAGACATGTAAATCTTGAACGTTCATTAAACTTCACATTAAAAATGGAACTCTTTACATTATAAAAATTAGCTTATATTAAGTCAATATATTTCAATTTCATATTAACAAAAGCCTGTCACTGTCTCGAGACGGTCTGGTGTAGATTTAATTGACCAGGCTGAATTGATCACAGACTCACACAAACATGATTCCCATTTAGGCGGTACTTTCAAGCTTGAATTGCTCTGACGGAAGCATCAGTTTTTATTTCAAAATCGTATAGTCCGTGTATGACACTGTATTAAATTAGCATGTTAAAATGTCACCAAGTTAGTTGTTATGACATTAAAGCACTCTAAATTGAAACTAAAATTTAAAATAGGACAGAAGAATGCAGACAGATACAAAGAGGAACACTAACTAAATATCAATCACACTCGAGCCGAACTGAAGCATAACGAGAGAACGATCCCAAAACGAGTGGTGATTAAAGCCCGAGAAGAGACAGACGAGAGTTTAAACAGCGGGATGTTTCTTCATCACCACAGGAACGAGAGATTCTGTTCCCAGAGACTCTCAGAAGCGTCAGGCTAAAAATAGAAGGTGATGATGAAATTTGTGCGTTTTTTCGGCACAGTTGTGAGGTATGTGTCGATGACGTTGTTAACGCTGAATAAAATCTGAAACATTTGAACACAATTTAAACCTTTAAATAGAGAGAAGACCAAGAGAAAGACAAGAAGAGAGAGCGCTGATGCGCTGAATAATGAAACCAACCAAAAATAAGAAGTTGATGTGAAAACTAGAGGCGGATTCCCTGCCATAGCACGGTTCAAACTAAATAAATTGTAATTTGCGATGATAGAGAATTGAGATATTCTCAATCTAAAGTGATTATACGAATAGAACACATTTTTCTGTAAACGTACACTACTGTTCAAAAGTTCAGGGTTGGTAAGATTTTTTTAATGTTTCTGAAAGAAGTGTCTTTTGCTCACCAAGACAGCATTTATTTGATCAAAATACAGTAAAAACAGTAATATTGTGAAATATTATTACAATTTAAAATATCTGTTTTCAACTGTAATCTATTCCTGTGATGCAAGGCTGAATTTTCAGCATCATTACTCCAGTCTTCAGTGTCACATGATCTTCAGAAATCATTCTAATATACTGATTTGCTGCTCAAGAAACATTTCTGATTATTAGCAATGTTGAAAACAGTTGTGCTGCTTCATATTTTTGTGGAAGTTGTGATACATTTTATTTTTAAGGATTCTTTGATGAACAAAGTTGGAACTGTAACATTATAAATGTCTTTACAGTCACTTTTGAGAGATATATATATATATATATATATATATATATATATTGCAACCCTGCTGGAAAAAAAAAATAAAAATCTTACTGCCCCCAAACTTTTGAACATTAGTACATGATTCCTTGATTGCAGTGCAGTTTATAAACACACATGCGTGAAACTCACCATATCGCTGTCGCTGGGCTGGAACTGGAAGTCTTGTGCTTTGTGAAACACTGGGTTCTCCTGCAGGAACAGCTGCTGGTTGAAGTCCTGCATCACCTGGACATGACAACACAACTAATTCACAAACATATCAAGATAACGCAAGTTTATATGACATGTAAAAATGTTCCTTCAAAGGGAGAGTTCACCCAAAAACTGACTTTCTTTCTTTCTTCTTGGAACATAATCCATCTCAGTGCTATTTCGTGCACACAATTTAAATTGAATTTCAGTGTTCTTCAAAATATCTTTTGTGTTCTGCAGAAGAAAGAACACCATGCAGGTTTGGAAGTTGAGTAGGTTGGAAGGTGAGTAAATGATGACAGAATGATCATTTCTGTGTGAACTATCCCTTTAAGAGCTAGTGCAGGAAAGATCCTTGCATAACTCTCTCTCTCTCTCTTACACACACACACACACGCGTCACAATAGTGGTATGTAAAATTAGGCCCCCTTGGGCAGTGAAATGGTGCTCAGACAGATGTGTTTGTCAGCGCAGCGGAGGAATGATGTGTGTGTGAGAGGGGATTTCTTCATAGGGGAGCCGATAATGAGGCGCTGGCAGAGGGAATCTATTTCTGGGAATGAAGAGGGAAATTGAGAGCGTGATGAGACTAAGAAAGAAGAGAGAGACTCACTCGACTGGACTTCTCCAGCAGGAACTGGAAGGTGCTGTGGACAGCTTGAAACGCTTCCAGCTCGGTCCGACAAAAGGATATCAGATAATCCTTCACATGGTCGTATACGTTCCCCTCCAGACCCTAGAGAGAGAGAGAGAGACAGACAGACAGACACAGAGAAAGACAGATTACACAGTCTGTGTTTGAACTGAATAAATAACAAATGACCTTGTGCTTTCAGAAAGGGTCAGAGGTTACAAAAAGTGAAATGAGAATGATAGAATGATGGATAGACAGAAAGAATGACAGAACAACAGACAGATTTAAGCAAAAAAAGACAGAATGGTTGACAGAACAATAGAATGATAGACAGAATGACAGATAGGAGGAAAGAATTAAAATAATGACAGAAATATAAAAAACATAGAATGATAGAAAGAATGACACATGGGAAGACAGAGAAAAATATAGAAAAATAATCAAATGATAGAAATGACAAATGACGGATGAGATAGAATGAAAGAAAGAATATTAGATACCGGTAGAATAGGAGCAAAACAAAAGAACTATGACAGAATTAAGAAGACAGAAAGATTTAAAGAACAATAGACAGAATGAAACAACATAATGATGAAATGATAGAGCAATAGAAATAATGACAGAACAAAATGATAAAGACGACAAAAAATAAAGAATGAATGAGACAAAATGATAGAAAAATGACAGAAAGACAGAGCAATAAACAGAAAAATATCGAAAAACAATACAATGATGGACAGATAGAATGGTTAAAAACAATGTTAGATAATGGTAGAATATAAAAAAGAATAAGAAGCCAGAAATATAGAAAATGATAGAAAGAACAACAGATAAAATGACAAAAAGAATGAAAAATAATGGTAGAATAAAAAAACTATAGAATGATATAGCTTAAAAGCATAGAAAGAAACAGATAGAAAGATACAAAGAACAACAGACAGAATTGAAAGAACATGACAGAAAAATAGATAAAAGACAAAAATAAAGACAAAAAGAAAGACAGATGGAATGTTTGAAAACTGACAGAATGACATATTAAAATAATATAGAATGACAGAAAGTATGATAGATAAAACGACAAACAGATAGAATGACAGAAAGAACAATAATGGTGGAATGATGAGGAAAAAACGTATAAAAAAAGTGATAGGGAATTTAGAACGATAGAAAGAAACAGATAGAAAGACACAAAGAACAATAGAATAACAGAATGAACCAACAGAATGAAATGATAAAAAAAACAGACAAAACAAAACAACAGAAACAAAAAAATAGTCAGTTAAAGGGGTCATATGATGCGATTTCAAGTTTTCCTTTCCAATCAGAGCAGACTGCGCTTGTCGGAAGGAGGGACTTTGTAGAAAATGAAGCGTTTGAGAGAGGCGGGGCATAGAGGACCTACAATAATGTACAGTATTTGAAAAATAATGTGCTTTTTGAACATTAAAGCATGTCAACATATTCTGTTACACCAAATAATGATCTTTAAAAAAGCATCATATGACCCCTTTAACTGACACCAAACGCATTTGTATGAGAGACAGAAAGAAGGACAGAGCGTCCCATCAGCCCCCTTGTGGCCAAACGAGTGTTTTCTCTGGACTGTGTGACACTCAGATCAGAGCAGATTGTTCAAACAGCAGCAGCTGCTGGGAAAGGTTAGCCAGTTCAGATTCCAAGGCCTCAACGCGCAAAAACAAAACTCGAAACCTCTGCTTTCCCTCTCTCTCTCCTGCTCCCTCCATGTTCAGCGGCACTGGGAAGGAATGTATTTTGGAAACAGGCTTGGATTTGTATGAGTGAGCTGGAAATGACACAGACCCGACCACGAGCCGGTCTGGATTCACGGGCTCCGTCGGGTTACAACAGGTGGCGCCACTGTCAGGAAGCACTTGAGTGCCGTATGCATGAGAGAGAGAGATGGAGAAAGAGGCTGTGCTTCCTTCTGATAGGATCATGTCTACCTCCACCCACCACACTCAAACTCCATAACGTCCATGTGTGAGAGCCGTGGTCAGAGAGCAGCGGGACCAGCTTGCTGTTGTTTTCTCGCCTTTCAAAGTTGCAAGAGATTTTAAGTAATAGTTTTAAGTAATAGTTCAGCTAGAAATGAAAATTACTCACCGTCAGGCCATCCAAGATGTAGATGAGTTTATTTCTTCATCAGATTTGGAGAAATTACATCACCTGCTCCCCAATGGATGCTCTGCAGTGAATGGGTGCCGTCAGAATGAGAGTCCAAACAGCTGATAAAGGCGAGCGTTTTTAGCTTCAAACCGTTTCTTCCGGCTAAAATACAAATCCTCTATCCATAATAACATTTCCTCCAGTAGAAAAAGTCCATCTTCTGTTGCCCTCTCACATCAAAATGAGACAAATCCACAGACAAATTTGTTTAGAACGGCTTTGGACTGTTTTCACTACAAACGGTGAACGGTGCTTGATATCTGCATTTTTCTCTCCCGATTCAGACGAGACATCTTTTTTAGTGGAGAAAGTAATATTAACTAATTTTTAACAAACATGCAGCTTTAACTGATGGACTGGAGTGGTGTGGATTACTTGTGGATTATTGTGATGTTTTCAGCTGTTTGGACTCTCATTCTGACGGCACCCATTCACCGCAGAGGATCCGTTGCTGAGCAAATCTGCTTCCATGAAGAAACAAACCCATTTAGGTAACACTTTATAAAAACTTTCATTAATAAATCTTTAATAAACATTATATAATGCTTAACAGATCATTAGTTAAAGGCACAATATGTAAGATTTTTTTATTAAAATATCCATTGAATACGCGCCCTCTAGCGGCAAAAAATTACATATTGTGCCTTTAATATATTCACATAGCTGGAAATATGAGATAACATGCTTGGTAATGCTTACTAATTATTAACTTAAGAACTTATGAAACATTACCTAATGATTAACAGATCATTATTTCATGGAAATTGAAATGCTTACAAATGTCATTAAACTTTCAATTCATATGATCATTAACAAGCACATTATCTCATATCTCTAGCTATTTGAATATATATTAACTAATGATCCGTTAACAATTATATAATGCTTGATAGTGATTTATAAATGAAAAAGTATTACCCCTCATTTACATCTCGGATGGCCTGAAACTTTCAAAGTGAGGAAAATTTTCAGCAAATTCTCAGTTTTTTGGGGGGTGAACTATTCCTTTAAGCTTGCTTATTTTGTCAAGGCTACACATTCACAAACTCTCTGAAAACATACCCAAATGTGTCTCCATGTGTGAAAAACTATAATTCACGTGGCCCGTGGTTACAAGCGCACCCGGACGGACGGGAACACACACATACACACACAACACAGCAAAAGACATAAAGCAAACACAAGCATCAGCTGAACAAACACTTCTGCTGCATAATAAATGCTTCACTTTAACACACACAAGTCTCGATATGAACCTGTGGTGCACATTTAGCAAAAGCCGTCTGCTGGCTATAAATAGAGCCTATCAAAATGTATATGCAGACTATTTTTATACATTTTTATACTAAGTCTATAATGTGAGTTTTAGAAGAAAAAAAAAGTTCACCTAAACTAAATTAAATCATTGTAGTTTTTTATAACACAAGTTAATATTCAACACTATACACTACCTTTCAAAAGACTGTAAGATGGAAGTAGTGGCCTAATGGTTAGAGAGTCAGACTTGTAACCCAAATATCGCGGGTTCGAGTCTCAGGTCTAGCAGGGATTGTAGGTGGGGGGAGTGAATGACCAGCGCTCTCTTCCACCTTCAATATCATGACTGAGGTGAGACCCTTGAGCAAGACACCGAACCCCCAATTGCTCTCTGGATGCCACAGCAAAAATGGCTGCCCACTGCTCCGGGTGTGTGTTCACGTTGTGTGTGTGTGCCCTACTCACTGCTGTGTGTGTGCGCACTTGGATGGATTAAATGCAAAGAGACACCACACTTGGCCACACATCACGTCACTTTCACTTAATAATGTGAAATATTATCACAATTTAAAATAACTGTTTTATATTTGCACATGTTTTAAAATGTCATTTATTGCTGTGATCAAAGCTGAATTTTCAGCATCATTACTCCAGTCTTCAGTGTCACATGATCTTCAGAAATCATTCTAATATACTGATTTACTGCTCAAGAAACATTTCTTATTCATTTTGAAAATTGTGCTGCTTCATATTTTTGTGTGATATAAATACTTTTTTCAGGATACTGTGATAAACAGAAAGTGAGCCCAAACTTTTGAATGGTAGTGGAAGTAGTAGTGATTTAAATGGTTAGTTCACTTTCACATCATTTATTCACCCTCATGTTGTTTCAAACTCTATGGTAATAGATACTAGTCAGTAATTGGTCACAAGATATGTGAAAGAAAGACATACAGGTTTGGAACAACATGAGGGTGTGTAAATGATGACAGCATTGCCATTTTTGGATGTGCTTCTCATTTAAGCTTCCAGCAGGCATGTTAGTTGTATATATATATATAGAAATATATGTGCATTTGGGTGTTTCTAGGGAGGCCACATTATCTCACAGTTCAGTAAATGTCAACTTTCTATAAAAAAACATGCTGATGGTGTTTGTAGATGACGGCAGGTTCACACACAAAAACAGGTATAGGAGCTAAGAATACATGCAAAACACACATCTGACATGAAGCTGCTCTCACCTCTTTCCTCACATTTACAAGTACAAAACAACAATGACAAACTGTGGGGAAAACCCACAGCCAATCTTGAAAGCAGAAAATCCCCTCTCTTGAACTTCGGAGATGCCGTTAAACATAAGGCAAAATAAGGACTAAAAGAGAGACCTACTCAAAACAGGATCATGATGCAATGTGAAATCCGAGGTATCTACGCAAAAAGTGCTGCAACAGATCTTGCAATTTAGAAATGTTAAAATTGTGCTGAATTTAATGAAGTGATTCAAGATTTATTATGGAAATGTGCATCAAGCTCAAAACAAAGTTTCAGGTTTCACCAAATTATTATTGAATCAGTTTTTTTTTTTTTTAATGTTTGTAAAATAAGCGCACAGTGAAAGCACACGGCAAAGTAATAAACTTTTAAAACACTATATT